TACTGTAGTCCGTTACAGCAGTTAGTTTAACTTACTGTCATCCTGAAGGGTATAGTTTGTGGTGCTACTGAACAGTACTGCATTATGCACAGAGCTTTTCTGTCATTTCGCCTACCCTCACTGAGCTTACTGTACAGGTGGCATTCTTCCTGCCCTTTATCTCTGTCACCTGCAGTCATCAGCTGGAGTTACCATTTGCTTAAGTTTCACCCCATAACCTATAGTTCTCCTGATTGGGGTGCAATGACCAGTTGGGGATGTCACCCTGTCACCGCCCCTTGCAAATGATATTAATGGGGATTCAAACAGAACACGTCCCTTCTCTGTATCTACAACCAGCAGCTTGCATTTTCAGCCTCTTCAGCCCCTGTACAATCTCATCCTGGTCATATACCAGCAGTACAGAGAAGATGGATTGCTGAATGCTGGCATGTGCTTTATTCTGCAAAACCACACACAAACACACACTTGACAGTTTTAGTTTTCATTAGATCCATTTAGCTAAAACTAATGGAGACTTTTATATTAGAATGTTGATTCAAATGTATGATCACCTTGAAGGGGGCTGAAGTTTGCTGTGCTCAGTACAAAGTATCTCACAAAATAAATACAGTCAATTAGGCAAAAACACTGAGCAAGGTAAGGCAGAGCTATATACTGATAAAGCATAAGTACTAGTATCTGCTGGGTGAAGAATCTTCGTCTTAAACTGCCAAGATATGAGCTATCATAAGTTGCTTTCTGTTCAGTTGAATATGGAAGTAAAGATAGTCATTAGTGACAATGATAAAGCAGCAGCTTGCATGCTGTTAACAAGGCTATCATCAATGCTCAGTTAGTCAGCAAATACGGCTGTTGTTAACAGAATACTGTTGTTGCCCATAGTGTGATTAAAATTCACTACACTTACAAATAGGCATTTGGGATAATAAGCGGCAGTGGCTGATTGTGACACTAGTCTTTTTGTTTAAAGGCACTGAGATTGTCTCAGAGGTTTGGAACATTACACTCTTCACAACTGAATTGATGTCAGTCATATCAAATGCTATGATATTACTAATGTCAATATACATATTGACATCATTAGTAACAAGACTCTCCTTCCTTTCCTCTTCACTTGCTGCTCCTGTCCCTTCCTTTCCTCTTCACTTGCTGCTCCTGTCCCTGACACTTACGGGCCTGTTCGTCCTATCCCAAAGGCTGCACAATTACTATAACCTATTAGTTCAAAACCAACCAAAATTCCACAAAACAAAACTAGCACAAAGATAGTTACTGGCTAATTGATGAGAAGACGCAGCGTCACTGGTTCAACTTATTCAGCAACGGAACGTTACGTCATCCGCAAGCGCGCATTCCAAGTGGATTAGTGTGTAACGTGAACGCAACATTTCTGCTGTTTACTTCCAGACCATCATAGCAAAAGGTGAAACAGTTGCCTCTGTAATAACTTTCCAGAGTTGTACAATCTTGTCCATGAGTAGTTTTAAACCACTGTACTGTGTTTTGACACCTAATAAGCTTTAAACACATAAGCCCGTTCCTCCAACTGGACTTCCCATATAGGATGCCATTGTCTCACCCAACACACCCTCACCAACCCAGCCACTTGTGTTGCTTAAATGGCGTGCAAAACGTGCGTGTGGGTCCAGCCTATGCTTATGCTAAGCTAACGTATCTGCCTAAGCTAACAATTTGTTAAGCTAACAATTTACGTTACCTTGGCCGGCGGGGTCCATGGCGTCGATTTCACAGAAACTCCTTTACTGTTATTCGAAAAACTCGATTGATGTGAAATGTGTAGAGCAGACTAGTTGTGTGCTTCCCACTCGGTGTACAGATATCTTCCTGGTTTTGCTAAGTACTGCCACTCAGTGCGAACCGTCGTCAGGAGTAGCTTAAACCTAACAAGCCCAACAGCCAGCTCAGCTTAAACCCTTCTGTGAAACTAACGAAAATAACACCAGTACACCCGTTCAGGAATTTCAAAATAAAGGGATCATGCTACCATTTGTTTAACTAATTCGGTATTTTCAGTTTTAATAATAGTTTCCCTTTGTTGGATTGCACTTTAAACTTTCTAAAGTTTAATTATGCATCTTCTATGTTTGCATAAACTGGCATTTGGAAACTAATTCACCTTTATTCCAGTACTAAAACATGACTCCATTCACATATCTTTTATTAGGAAATACAGTAGGCCTAATCCTTCCTGGGTGTAGGGGCCAAAGTAATATGTCTTAATGAATGACCTCCAGTAAATGCCACAAAATAGTGTTGTTTAATGCTGTAAAGTTTCACAGTGAAGCCTCACATAGTATTTCCAGTAAGATGAGGAAAGATTTCAGGTTTTGTAGATTTTCTTAAATGTTTTAGCAGTCCAGATTAATTGGGTTTAATTGTTGTTTCAGTCATTTGTACAAGCATAAGAAATGTAAAGGGATCACTGATGCTGCATATGAATGGAGCCCAGTTTTTTGTTCTACACCACTGATTTCAGTCAACTTTATGTATGCAGTTAACCTGAATATTTAAATTTGATCTGTTTTGTGCTTTTATATTAAAGGCGCCACCTGCAAACAGGAAGTTATTTTCTTGGTTCTTTGCAGAGACTGGATTTCTGAGAAATCCTTTTCCGGTATGGTGAAATATGTCACAGAGTCAGCTGTTGTCCATATGTTTTGATTTGTAAGGTATTTTTTTATTTGATGAGCTTTCTTTGCGACCGTGCACCCACAATGTTTTATTGTTTTTAATCAAACTGTGTGCACGAGAGAGCAAATGTCCTTGTAGCTCTCAAAAAAATCGAGCAAAAATTAGTTGTTGGGCCCATACTGACCCTGACTATACATGGCTGATTAATCATTTTCTTAGGCACGCAGAAACCAACCTAAAGGTGAACGTGTTAGTAAATTGATAAATGAATTTGTCATTGGAAAATTAATCAGCAATTTTTACTACTGATTGTTTTAAGCAAAAGTAATTTTTTAAAATTCACTAGTTTCAACTTGTCAAATGTGTATTTTCTTGTTTTGTGATAGAATGTGATGATTTTTTTCAGTGGATTGGTTGGACAAAACAGGAAATTTGAAGACATTACTTTGGAATTTGGGTAAGTGTAATTGGCTTCTATGTATGTGTGAATGTATTTAACAATTTTACAAGATGTTATAGTCTGAATTATTTATTAATTATAAATTAATTGTAAGATTAATAAATTGATCCATTATTTATACCACTTATCCCAACAAGGGTTGTGGGAGGCTGGAGCCAATTCCAACTGACACTGGGTGAGAGGCAGGGTCCACCCAGTCTATCACAGGGCTGACATGTAGACAAACAACCACACTCACTCCTATGGGCAATTTAGAGTCACCAGTCAACCTAAGCTGCATGTCTTTGGACTGTGGGAGGAAGCTGGAGAGAACCCACACAGGTACAGGGAGAACATGCAAACTCCACACAGAAGGCACACACAAACCCCAAACCTTCTTGCTGTGAGGCTACAGAGCTCACTGCTGCATCACTATGCTGCCAGAGACTAATAAATATAGGTTTCTTTGCTCAGAGATTTTAAATAAAACACTGTAGAAGTGGAAGCACAAATAGATAATCACAAGTACAATACAAACTAAAGTAATACTGTTAAAATAATTAAAACTTTGACACACTGCACTACTACAATACCAGGCCCACAATATTGAATGATGAGGGGCTCATTTTAGCTGATATTGCACTTTGGATCTAATTTATAAATGATACAGTACAGCCCTCTGGCATGCAGTGAACCTGGGGCTTTGGGGGCCACTGACAGTCTTGCCCAGTTTGTGATCCAGTTTTGCTTCACACACAAACTTACTGCAGTTGACCAGTATCAGATTTATTTAATCCATAAATGTATGAAACACAACTAATATCTTGAACTGCTTTGTCTTGCATCATGCACAGACAGAAAACATTAAAGAGAAAGTGCTTTAAGATACTTTTTGTTCTTTAACTGACAAACACACAGAAGCTTTTGTAGTGAGTGCTGATTTTCAGAAAAGCATAAAAGGTTTTCAGTACCAAACCAAATCATACTGAATCAATTATGGTGTCCAGACTCACCTGTTCCAACTGGCTCAGACAGGACATCTTGGTCTTCTAGCAGGGTTTCTTTCATAAAAAAAACATTTTTTACTACTTCTCCTACTGTAATCTACTTCATTCTTTACTTCATATACTAATACTGTACTAATACTCTCCTGCAAAATCTTCTTTTAAACTAAGAGCCACTGTTTTCCTCTTCCTACTATGGGGCTAAATCCACAACTACAGATCACCCAACCTTTAATTTCTTTTGACAGAAATAAGTAACATTAGAGTAGGTTGTTATGTCTATAAAATATTTATAATTTAGTCTGTCACAGAACAGGATGTTTAAAAGCTAAAATATTGTCAGAATTTTTCAATTTTGTAAAACAGCTAATGCTGTGATAATTATTGCAGTACTGTTTACTTGCCCCTTGCATGGGGATATGTATATACACATTGAGAGCCGATGTACCAGAGTCAAATTCCTTGTGTGTCAGACACACCTGGCCAATAAAGCAGATTCTGATTCTGACAAATTGTATTCCCATCCTGCCTCCATACCTTCGGTAAGAAAAAAAACCAACATACCATCTGTAGCCTACTGCTGCTAGTTCTGCTGTTGCTGCTGTTCTATACCAGAAGTGCTGCTGTGACTACTAAAATCCGCACTTGTACGCAGGGGCAGACCTAAAAAACTTTATATGAAGTGGCCAGGCTGGGGGGGTACATTTGAAATACATGTAAAAAAAAAAAAAAAAAATAAAATAATGCCATAGCCATAGTTCTATGAGCTAATAAACCATACATTCTTAAGAAAAAAATATTTATTTTGTGTAAAAGTGAGTAACACACAGTGCTTTCTTTAGCCAACTTTGGCTGTACCCCTTATTTACTCATAGCCAGACATCACTGCTGCATAGTGGTTTCCCCCCACTGAGACAAATCAAATACTCCACAACAACACAATCAGAGAAATGAATATGAATATTATACTGCATACATGAAATAAAATAAAACAAATTTGATCAATTATAAAGCACCAGAAAAATGTTAGTTATATTTAAGGCAACTGTTGTTTTCATTTTTCAGTCAATAATACTGACAAGCATCACATTTTATTATTTATTTATTTATTTATTTTATTCTGGCAGGGGTGGCCAATCAGATTCTGGGGGTGGCTGGGGGGCCCCCTGGGCCACCCCTCTGCCCATGTTTGAACGTCTTCCAGTACTGTTTATACTGTAACTAACAGTAGCACTATTTCTTTTACAGAAACAAGTAGTAATTTCCCTCCTACTATTAGTACTATTACTAGGTGTACTTCAACATTAGTTACTACAATAATGGCTAAAACTTCTATTCCAATACTATGTGTTCCATATTGTGATACCTTTCACAATAAGAGACCAACAGACTCTGTGTTTTTTCCTTTAGGCACAGGGACTCAGAGCAGATCTATTCCCATTTTTTTTGTCTGTCTCTTTTCCACTCAACAATGAAGTGTTAATTTGTTTCAACTGGATGAATATTTAGAACAAATCAGAGACTGATAGTATACAACTGCTGTTAAGTCTGGAGTGCCTGATGTTCTGAGTTTTATCAAAGTTATGTGTCAATCATGATATGAGCAAGAACCAAAGGTATGTGTCAATCAAGATATGAGCAAGAACAGGCTTAATGATTAATCAGATGGGAGTGTGGATGTAGAACAAAATTATCCATGTAGTAATACTGCTTGCAAACCAATGATGATAAGATGATGTTAGGGGGTAGGACTAGATAAGTCTAACTTCTTCCTACTCCATTCAAGCATGTACTAGGTATAAGCAAATTGAAAATATGTTTGTGGATATGTCTGGAATTATGTGTGGTTACATACTGACTGTTGTTACATGTTTGAAAGAATAAGGAACAAAGTACAAGTCTGTTTTCAGACCCAGTCATCACCGAGCTGATGAAACTCTGGAGTGAAGTATGTCTTCCTTTATCTTCTCAGCAAACCTTCATCTCTAAACTCTGCTCCACTATTTCTTGTGGAGAGGGTTTAGCCAGGAGAAGCAAAAATTGGGTCGATGAGGGACCTCACTGAAGGTGAAAGACGATGAGGAAGAGGGGGCAAGGGGAGGACCGGTCTGAACAGGACTCCCAGTCTCAGTCTTCATCTTGTGCAAAGAGGGACAGCAGATGGTTTTATTTGAATATCCAAGACTCAGTGTCAACAGGATAAATATTTATTGTAAGAGGTAAATTGTGCCACTGACTGACTGAGATCAGACCAGAATTGTCTGTTAGAAGCAGTGAGACACTCAGCAAGGCAGTGTATCAATTAGTGTACAGTGTGTGACCAGAATACCTTATAATTATAGTTTTAGTCTGTTAGAATGTAGTTTTTTCAGATGCCAAATCCCACTGTGTCCCATTCCTCTCTACTAGATACTGTTAACAAAAATTACAACTTATAAACAATAAACTTATCCATGATTTCATGATAATCTGTAACACAAAGTTTATATTTTGTTCACATTCTGTGTAGTTTAACTCAGGAGTGTGGATACATGGTTATAGTTAATGATTTTCATTGTTGTTTGGTTGTATCCTGCCTTTTGGATTATGTCTACTGAGTCTACTGAGTGTGATTTCCAGGGTTCCACCTTCTACATGATGGACCTGAATATAACCATGTGGCTTGTGTTTGTGTGGCTCATGAGTCAGTGGTAAGATAGGATACAGCACCCTCTACAGTTGGCCTGCCAGGTGCCCAGCACTGGTGTGCCAAAGTGCAAAATGTATTCTCAAGCACTACTGTTGAAGCATCTCTGCTATGCTCAAACCCTTTCAGTGACTTCCATCTACCTTTTCAGCTCTCTCTCTCTCTGTTCTATATATACACTCATCAGCCACTATTAGGTCCACCTGTACAACTGTATCCACTTCAGTGCAACACTTCTGCCTTAACATTTGTGTTTATGAAGCTCAAAATGGTTCAGTTTTTGGTGAAACTGATGTAAATGTATAAAATCAATTATATGTTCATTATTGTGGTCATAATAAAGGTGGTGTTGTACTGGACTACATTATATTCAGAGGTGTCTCTATATTTTTGCACTCCCCTGTTACATACTGTACATGAGAGGGTCAGAATATTAGGAACACCTCTAAATATAATGTAATCCAGTACAACACCACCTTTAACTATGTAAGAAAATGTGAAGATGTTTACAATGTATATTTATGAAACTTCCATAAACATGTAAACACAACTTATCATGTAGCTTGAAGCACAAGGATATCATGAGTGATATTAGTCTTTTTGAAGCATAAAATAGCACAAATATATCTATATTATGAAAATGCAACAAATGCTAATGTAAATTGTAGTTGATTTGTAAATGCAAACCAAATTATTGACTCTGGCTTTTGCAGGATGCTGAAATGTAATTTTACAGTTTTTCAGCAGAGAGAACCAGGAACTGATGGCTGCTGTCAGAGCTGAGGTGCCACTACATAAACTGCATTACCATAAATGTATTGATTTCTTCAAATGTGTGCTTCTTTTTCCTTCATTTTCCTCTTCTTTTAATATTATTATGAAGTAGTAGTAGTGGCAGTATTTTGGACAAGACCGCTGATGACATTTTTATTTCAATAAAAACTACAGGTGATACAATTTAGAGCAATATTTTACAAACAAGGTTTTAAATGAGTAATGACAAGCCAGCCATTAATTTGCACCATTTTCATGACAGCATTTATTTATTTGTTTGTTTGTTTTGTATCTAATTTTGAGAAGAAATACTTGAATTAAGGCAACTCTGAGGTAGTTATTCTCTGTGAGTGTGTGTGCGCGCGCGTGCATGTGTGTATGTGTGCATGCGTGCATGTGTTTTAAAGAAAAAAGCTTTGAACAGCAGTCCTTGGTGGAGCCAGCAGGCATGGATACCTGAGCTGCGTAGCAGTGAGGATGGATGTGTCTCCTGCTGGTGTTATGTACAAATAAAACAGCCGATGTAAGCCCACACCCTCTGCAGGATGACCAGGAAGGCCAACAGGTAGACGAGCAGAGTAACAGCCTGGAGAAAGATGGAGGGATGGAAAAGAGAGAGAGGTGGATGAAGGAGAGACAGGAAGAAGAATGAAAGAAATGGGAGAAAGAAAGTAGGATGGTATTAGTAAGAGAGAGGAAGAAAATGTGGTTTAGGTGAAAGGATGAAATGATTTGGGGTGAAGCAAGAAAGAACGAGAAATGATGTTGCAACAAAAAGGCAGTAATGTAAAGATTTTTGGGAAAGGAGGAAGGCACTAGTTTAGTCAAATTCATCTACTTTGACATTTATCCAGCAGCACATTATTTGAGGTGATACCTCATCAGTTTTATTCTTTGTTCAAAATAAACACTCACTTCAGTTCAGTTGCATTTCAGGGCCAGTAATAAGGTAAAAAACACTGAAATGATGATTCCATGTGAAACAGGTGATGTCAACAGGTGACTGCATCATGATCTGGTACAAAGTGGCATCTGGGAAAGGCCGAGCCCTTTAGGAGCAAAAATGGGCTGAGGACCACCAGTTTGACAACATATGTGTGAGAAAACTATTGAAATGTTTAAAAACTATGCTCCTATTTAGAACAAAGAATAAAGTTGATGAGGTATCACATCAAATAATGTGCTGCTGGATTGATTCCAATGTAACACAGGGCACAGATGATTTACACATCACTATTTTCTGTTTTAATTTAGATTTTACATATCATCCCTTTTTCTGATTTGGGGTTGTAGATCAAAACGTTTCTGCTGAAATAAGTTGCTGGGAGTTTAGTGCAATGTGTGGATCTTGTTTCTGCTTTTCACCTTCAAAGACAATCTAATAATTATAAGTTTATAAAATACAATTCATTTCTACAAAATAAGCCAGTGGTCTACAATCCTTTTGGCCTGTGGCCCTTTACAAAAGAGCATGGTCCAGCTGGGACTTCTTTTCAAACTGTTCATATCAATGAGTTGTTAGATTTCTTCTCAAATGGTGTCCTGGTCGGTTTCAGTCACAAAAGTTACAAAAAGAAAGTTACAGAAAGGTCTAAAATACAAATGCGTGTAGCAGAACTTAGTCTTTTTACTTTCCTCTCTCTTACAACCCCTCAGATTTACCTTGTGACCCTTCAGTGGGTCCCTACCCCTAGGCTGCATACACATTGCTGCACCAGTATTAACTATCTCGTTATGTCATAAAAACATATTACAGAGCACAATTTTCTGCAGAATGAGTACTTTCACTTTCATACTATAAGTACATTTAGCTCTTAACTGATTTTGAATGCAAGCCTTAGTATATTAAGTTGTTGTATTGGTACATTTATTTAAGTAGCGCTGAATACTTCTCCCACACTTTTGCAGAACACTAACAAAAGTGTGTGAGAGCAAGTGTTTGACAGTGATGTGAGGTAACTTTTTATATTGCTACTCTAGAGCAGAGTTAACTTTAATCAAGGGATCAGCATTTCCCTTTGTGCTTTCTTCCTCCATGCCATTCCCTCTGCCTTTTCCAGCACGACAACACAGAGGCCCAAAAGAAAGTGATGAAGCAGCTGCAGCCCAGTTGCAAAAGTGACTGCAAAACACAGACAGCGACAACCACAAAGAAGAGAGAAGAAGAATGTGGAGGTGTAGTCACATGAGCAAGTGGGTGAAGAGTGCAAGAGCCTCGCTGACAACAAGGAAGGTAAAACCAGATGACACTGACCTGGAGAGAAGCACAGGATGTTATTTTCTCTTCAGTTTCAGCAACACGTGTCATTTTGGCAGCAAAGTCTTCAGGCTTCTCGCTGTTCTCTTCTTTCTCCTGTTCTTCTGCAAACCCTGAACTACTGACCTCACAATCTCTGTCTCCCTGTATCAAGCTAGTTGTATTCCCTACTGCGTGATCTCCTGCAGCCAAGGTGTCATGTTTCACTTCAGAGCTCTCCACCCTCGTATGAACACTCCCCAACACCTTGCTTCTTTCATCACACTGAATGCCTCCTTCTTCCATCACCTCAGCTTCAAAATGACCCTCTCCCAACCCTCTTTCATTCAGCCCTACAGCACCACTGAGACCTAAAGTATCTTTCTCAAACTCCTCTTTGTCCCCAATGTCTTCTAATCTTCCATCGCTCTGCTTAAAGTTGTCTTTGTCTGAATTAGTTTCCTCTGGTGGTATGGAACATGCAGTATGGTTATTATCAGAAAAACTGTCTAAACTACCTTGTACCAAATAAAAACCGTTCTCCGCCATGCTTAATTGTGTATCCACAGGCAGGCACACCCGATCCTGCAGGACCAGCTGTTCCTTTTCCTGCACAATTAAACCAACTTCTCCTGTTGTCTGCTGACTTAATGGCACTAGAGGGACAGCAGTGAAGATGCTGTCCAGCTCAGTCGCAAGGGGCTGAAATTGATGTGCATGAACAGGAGTCAGATGTAGGGTTTGGTTTTCTGGGTGGTGTGAGGGTTGAGGCAGAGGAAGGTATGGCTTGGTATGAAGCAGCTGTGGCTGCACCAGTGGGGAGAATACAGGTCGAGGTTGTCTGGGGTAGGACATGCACTCTTCTCCAATCTGAGTCTGAGTTTCACACAAGAGCGCGGAACCTTGCAGTTGGAGTTGAAGGAATGACATGCCTCGGACTGCATCTTGAGCCTCAGTGTGGGTCCTGGCCTCTGAAAGAGAATCCCCAGCCAGGTGTGTTGAACACATCATCTGCTGTGTGGCAGCCAGAACAGGGCTTCCCCAGCGAGGGCTACCTGGTTTGTACCAGCTGGGGTAAAACATAGCAGCTGCTTCCTCCTTCAGCTGCATTTCTTCTTCCTCTTGCTCCTGAGCATCTTGCTTTGTCTCTGTCTCTCTCAGTGCAGTCCAGTCATCTGCATCACTTTCTGCCTTGGCTCCTTCACACTGATATGTGAAGGATGATATTCAATAAGTCATAAGGAAGATTTTGCATGTTTTTAGTCAGTCCATTACCCACAACCAAGCATTTGCCAAAAACCAGCTATTTTAGACTGATTTTCATCCTTCCAGTCTACTTTTGCTTTAGATTCACTTCAACCAACTTGCAGAGACTCAACAAGAGGTGTTCAGTAAATGTACGAACAAATCTTCACACTGAACTAACGACACTGAACAACTATTTCCACTTCACAGATAAGCAGCTTATAGCAGCGGAGCGCCTCAGTTGTGACCGAATGCACTGTGGTCAGCTCAGTACATACAGTAACCTTTTCCTAGGTTCCTGATTTGTTTTGTACTGAACTGAACATAACATCTTTGACTAGCAGCAGACTGCGACATCATACAGCAGCAGACTGCATCAACCGATCCCAGGCAGAATACCATAATGCCCTAGAATATCTTACCTTTCCTGA